AATCAATCATGTTTATATACTTTAAAGTTTCTTTATTTCTTTTTTTGATAAATAATAAATTTATCCTTTGTTTATTTTAGTAGATTCAAATAGATTTTATTAGATCAAATGGTACACTATAGCAAAATTTCAAAGAACCAAATGTATCAATTACACAAAAATACACATAATAAAGAACACAAAAAAAATATTAGCTTGTAGCTTATAGATCCTGTAGAATATTTCATGTTTCCTGATTTTTTATTATGTCATTATTATTATTGATTGAAATTCGATTATTTTTCGAAAAAGAAACTTTGCACGAATAATTTATAGGGTCTAGTACTAGGCCACAAACCACACAGTCAACCCCGTTATTCCATTCAAAATTAGTTTCTGGATCCAACTTTGGTTTAACAGGGTTTTCGGATTAACTATGTAGTTGTTCTAAAATAAAAAATCTGTTTACTGAAACAATAAAATAAATTTATTTGTTTATCTGTTATAGTATGATCATCATTAACAATATTCTTATAATACTGTAATACCAAAAAAAATAATAATAATTCTATCCAATTAAATTCAATTAAAACTTTGAATATATTTCAGTCAAGTATTTTACCAAATTTGGAAATACTAAATGCCGTAATGATCGATGGTATGAAAAATTCTAGAAGAAATTCTGATTGGCTAAATTCAATCAGGGATAATACCCTGTAATGATCGATGCTATGAAAGTAAATTCTAATTGGCTAAATTCTGTGCAGATCTTTTCGTTGAATAAAAAATAATAATCTTTTTAAAGGAAAAGAAAAACAAGAAAAACATGGCGGGAGCTTTATTAATTGGTCATATAATTTCCAAAATTATACAATATGTGCATTTTTAACTTTTCTACAAGCCTACCCAAGATCAAGCAATGTCAGAAATGCTATTTAACTAATATATAGCATATTATTAATTAATAATGATTTTTATTCCTTCTGAAGGCGTTATTAAATAATTTATCAAGCTGCCATTCATCAGAAAAACATACTTCATTTAATCTCCAATAGATCAATCTATGCCACGAATGGATAATTAAGGAACTTTAAAAATAGAATTTAAAATAATATCATCGGAAATATAAATTTCTGTTAAATAATAAATAAATACATAAATTTTTCAAAATCAATATAGTAAAAATAAATAATGATTATAATAGTTCTAATATATTGAAATCAATAGCCACATTGTAAATAATACAAAATAATTTATTTGGAGTTTTATGCTTACATTTTCATACCGAACTACTTTAGTGCTCTATGTTACAATCTAACAAAGTTGTTGCAAAGGCAGTTACGACTAGGTGTTGCAATCATTTTTATATGGTGTAAAGGTGGTTACAACCATCATCAAAGTTGCAGTCGGTATCCTTAAACTACCTTTAAATAAATAAAAAATAAAGCCTAAATAAAAGTATATTGTTATCAACAAATTAATTTACATGAATAAATATAGTAATGGTGATTCTGAATATACTTCTGTACTTAATAATAAGATTTGCACCAACATGGCATCAGCTGGCTTTCTAGATATTTGTTTGCAATATCTTCATACAAACATAACGGTCTAACATTTATGTTACTAACTGTTAAAAATTAAAAAAAAAGGATTTTAAGCCAATAATACTCCTATGTATTAAAAAAAAACTAGCATGTAAAGTTGCGTGGATCCCGGTGGATTCTTAAAATATATATTCAGAAGAATTATTTTGATTATTATTATTAGAATTTTTTTTAAAAAAATTTTATTTTCACAAAGCACGACATGTCACGTTAAATCGTTTGTAACATATATGAATTGATCAACAAGGGGGTTCCAATTTTTCTAGATTCGATTTCCAAATTTGGTAAAATACTTGACTGCTATTAATAATAATGAAATGTTTATGACGATCATGATCTGAGGTAATCATTACCAAATTAAGAAATCCAGTGTGTCACACTATTAATATTAATAATTGAACGCGCTTATTTTCACAATGCTCCCACTCATTCTATTTCTGAATCAACAAATTTTAACTAATGTAAGAGTTTACTTCTTACCATCAAACACAACAACATTTTTACAACCATGTGATGCCGGGATAATTAACAGCTTCAGGGTGAACTACAAAAAAACTTTTCTTGCAAAAAAATTAGTGATTATGAAGAAGAGAGAATGGAAAAAATTTCAATTAAACATGCAATTAAATTTACAGCAAAAGCTTGGAAAAAAGTTACCAGTCAAACTATAGGAAAAAAACTGGTTTTGTTGCAGCATGCCCCATATGTTGTTGCAATCCTTTCTAATTCTATTACTTTCAAAGTATTTGAGGAAGAGGAGTTTTGCACTCCCATTGTAAATGAATCATCATTTTATTATTTTTACTATAACTATCAAAGTTAATATATCTATTGTAACATGTATTACAAATTAAATCACCAATACTTAAAATTATCACATCCTCTGCTTTAATCTTACTATCTTCTGAAACTTTTATATATTTTGATCCTTCTCTAATTTCTTCGCATATTGTACATTCATCATATAATACCATTTTTGGAAATATAAAAGTCACAAATGGATATAACAGGATTTAAGTTTAAAATGGTGAAAATGTTAGTCTCGGTACGTGTTACATAATCGGAATACCTCTACTTTAATTAATATTAAGGTTTTTTACTTAAAATTACGTAACATAAAAAATCAGTGCAACATTCGAATGTCCACGTACATACCATAAAAGGTGTGATCTTCATGAACCAGAAAATAAAAAATTCACCATCTTCATCCATTTTCTTAAAAATAATAATATAATAATAATATGAATAATATGGCCAGTGACAATAGTGGTAAAAGTAAAGGTGGTGATGGTGTTATTAATTATGATATTACTGATATTAATAAAAACGAAGATCCTAGTTGGACATCGTTTGAGAAATTACTACTTGTTCAAGCTGTTTACAAGTATGGTGAAAATTGGTTAGCAGTTACTCGTACAATGAAACATCATCCTTTGAAAGAACATCCTAAAGAATTTTTTACCACAAAGGTTTTTATTATTAAAAATTTTTTTAAACATTAAAGATTTATACACATAATTTTTAACTATTATTAAACTCAATAGGCTTGTACTGATAAGTTTAAACTTTTGATTGAACCTTTGCAACTTGATTTAGAAGGTGTAAAGTAAGTTTTTTTATCATTCTAATTGCTTCTATTGTTATTACTACCATTGCTACTGCTAATACTACCTGTTATATAAGATAAATAGAAAGCTCTAGAGTATTAATAATAATTTATTTAATTATCTATTATTTATCTAGTGAACAAAAAAAAAAATCGAGCGAATATTTGAATGGTGTGAATTTTAATTAATTAATTAATTATTATTTATTTGTCATTTAAGCAAATTTTTTTCTAATGATATGTTTTTGTTTATTGTAGATGCTCATCGTATGTCAGCCACAGCAAAATTAGCTAAACAACTTTATCAAGATCATGTTTCAAATTTGAAATCAGAGATTCAAACAACAGAGCAAAGATTTCGGTGAAAAATGTTTTTAATTAAATAAAACAAAAAAAAAAGGAAAATTTGCCAACCAACTAATTAATACTTGCAATAAATCATATTAACAGGGCCATTATTAATGAAATTCATGATATTCGAACTGGAAAGTTGGATTCAAAGTTATTGAAAAAGATAAAAGAACAACAACAACAACAACAACAACAAGTGCCATCATCAGCATCGTTATCATCATCACCACCAGCACAAAATATATTATCTGTTATAGAGGAACAACAACCATCACCTAATAAAGATGCTGGTGCAATTATTGATAATGAAAAAACGAAAATCGATAACAATAATAATAATGACAATCATGTTACTGTTTCTACTTCAAATACCAATAGCACTAACTACATCAATAACACTAATAATAATAATATTCAAAAAGTTAAAGACAACATTGATAATATTAAAGATGGTGATGAAAATAATATAATTAATATTGTTGATAATAATAATGATGATTATGATGATAATAATGTCAATGACGATAATATAGAATCAAAACATGACTTACATAAAGATGTAACAAAATTATTAGGTAAAATAAATATTAATGATGATAAGGATATGGAAAAGATGGAAATAGATACTAACATTGATGCCAATAATATTGCGAATAATAATCCAGCTAATACAAACATTCCGATAAATATTAACAACAACAATAAAGATGACAGTAATGATGATGATGTTCAAATGACAATAGAATTAAAACAAGGTGATCACTCTGATAAAGTTAGCGGCAGCAATGGTGGTGATAGTGGTGGTGATGTAAATTATGGCGAAAAAATGGACATTGACGACAATAATAATAATGGCAGTAATGATGATGATGATGATGATGATGATGATGATGATGATGATGACATTTATATTTCTTCTGCTACTATCACCACCTCTGAACAATTATTAGATAACATTAAAAAAGTCAGCAGTGATGGTGATAATGACGAAAAAATGAAAATTGATAATGTTAATATCAAAGATGAAAATAAAAATGGTACTAATACTACTACTAATATAATAATAATAATAATAGAATCAGAATGACAAAAAAAAATTATTTCACTATTTAAAAAAACTGTGAATTAAAATATTCAATTCTATTATTATAGGAAAAGTTACTACTACTTCTAATGTTAAAAAACATGAATCATCATCAAATGTATCAGATCAAACGACAGTAGTTAAAGGGAAGAAGAAAAAAAATGTGGAGGTGGAGGTGGAGGTGGAGGGTGAAGAGGAAAAAGTTAATAATGAAGAAGAAGAAGAAGTAGTGCAACAAAAGCAAGGAAATATGATGACAGTGGATAATAATGATGTAAATAGTTCAACGTCCACATCTACATCCTTATCATCAATAAATGAAGAAGAAGATATTGATATTAATGAAGATGATGCTAATAATAATAATAACGATCCATCACCAAAAAAGGAAATAGTAACACCGTCTCAAATTGAATACAATGAATCTTCTTTAGTACCTGCTTTAGGTTTAGTAGCTGCTACTCCCACTGGTGAAGTTTCATCAACGCCTGCTGGTGCTTCTACTTCAACACCTGGTGCTGCATCAATTTCCACTCCTGATGGTAATTACTATTATCCATTATTATTATAAAATTTAAATGTAAAAAATAACAATATATATATATGGTATTTTTCCTCCTCCAAAAACCCCTATTAGTTATAAAAACGCCACATTCTAATTCTAGTGAGGTAGCGCCTGGTGATATGTTTGGTACTTGCATAAAATATCTAATTGTTAATTGATTTATTTAATTATATATTAACCAATTTAAAATTATATAGAAAATACTAATGATGATAATAAAAAGTTAAAGAAATGGCTGAAACTTGTGTCTATGATATTACATGAGATAAGCAATCATCGATGTGCTAGTTTGTTTCAGAATCCTATAAGAGAACAGGATGCGCCTGGTTATAATGAAATAGTTAACCATCCAACAGATTTAAAAACATTAAAAAGGCGTCTTCGTGATGGAGTAATATATATTTATATATTTGTTTATTTATTGGAAAAGATAGAGAATAGAGAAACGATTAATTAAATTTTTTTCAATGTATAATATATGTATATACGTATATAGGAAATAACAAATACTGACCAATTTCATCGCGAACTAATGTTAATGTTTATGAATGCGGCAATTTATAATCGTGAGGATACTGATGTTTATCGAATGACGACAATGATGAAAGATCATGTTGAAGATCAAATACTTGAGTTTAGACAAACTGAAGATTCTAGAGGTGTTATACATGAACCAGCTACAAGGAGAAAGAGTATGGCTTCAGATGGTAGATCACGTCAATGAAATGAAAAATTTAAACTTATTGTTGAATATTTAATGATCTATCTACTTTATTTATAATAAAAATTGTTTAAAAATAGATAAATATTTGTAAATTTATTATTTTTTTATTTATTTCAATCAATTAATGAATTGTCGCCAACATAACAAATAGGATTCTCCTAAAAATTAAAAAATTGAAAATAGATAAAAGTATATCTACAATAAAAAAAATTTATGTGGTATATACTTTTCTAATTAATTATGCAGGGCTTATAAAAAAGTGAAGAGAGACTGGTGGGAATAATCCCTTATTACAAAAACCTAAATTATTATGTGATTTTTATCAGATGTCCAACATGCACAGTTATCGCTTACAAATAAAATTAAATTCAGTTTGTTTTTTTTTTTTTGCATTTCATTTCCAAGTTGGAATACAAGCTGATTCAAATCAACAATTGTGTATGATAATAAGTAATCCGCAAAGAAATATTTGTAATTGCCAAATTAATTCCTAAATGTGCTTAGTCTGTCTCATATCACCAACAAAGTTGTGATTGCAAGTATTTTTGTGGATAGCTATGTGATTACATAACCTGACGAATAATTTTATGTTCAAGCACATATTTCCATTGTACATCTGTATAATTTGGCATTGGGGTGGATTTTGCAATTCTACTTCAGCATCAATGGCTTTGCACATTTCAGGAATTATGGAGTATGCAGCAGTTTTTAAGGAGAATCTAAATAAAATATTGTAATCATATTTAATAATATAAATCAATCAATCTTTTATTATTTTATTAAAGCTTATTACCTGCCACCATGAATCTTGTAATGTCTTGCCCAAACAAAATACTTGTTTATTAATTTCAACCAAAGTAGCTTGATTCTTTTCACTAATGGTCAGTGCAACCTTGGCTGTTTGTTCAGCTTTAATAGCAGCCTCAGCACCTTTCATACAATCTGTAGCATCATGTCAATACTTTAATGGTCAAAAATAATTAGTTCCAAAAATAAATGAGGTGATGATTAAATAAATAAATTTCCACGTAAAATAATAATATGTTTACTCCAAATACTATATTTTTTGTTTGTTTCCTGTTGGTACTGGCCTTTTTCTCTATTCATGAGTGTACTACCTGATTCAACATCACAAATATCAGTGTTTGATGAATTAACAGAAATATTGTAAGCAAGAGAATCAATAATCAAAAGTGATGATGTATTAACTAGGTCTTTTGATTCAGGATTCTTGGTGACTTTTTGGTTTTGATTAATTTTTTTTCTACTAAAGAAATGCAATCTTACTAAAGTATTAAAAATAGCGTTATTGTTTATATGAACAACTCTGTTTACTTACTTCTATCAGAACTAACACGTGACAATTGGGTATTGAACATTTAGTTTCTTCCTGCTTTAATTCTTTTTTTTGATATAGTACAAGCCATTTTGTAAAGTTTATACAATGAGTAAAACTTCTCACAAACAGGTATATAAATTTCTATTTTTTTTAAAGGAATTGGAAAAATGAATTTTTTCAAAAGTATAGCTTATTCATATGATACTTTTTTAAATATGAAAAAAAAAATCAATATCTAAATCGACATCAATGTCCAAATGGTTTTTAGAAAGACGATACCCATATGCGCTGATTTTGTTTGATCATAACGTTATGAATACTTTATACTAGCAAAAACTCATTCATTGGTTTGACGGGCTGTTGAATAGTAAAATAGTTTTTTTAGCAGAGCAAATAAATTTTTTAGGGTTAATTATCATTCTACTGACCAGTTTATACATTAAAAATACTCATGTTTGACATCAAGACACAAAATAAGACAAGGTTTAAAAAGGCCAAAAAACCAAATCGGCTGATATGTTAACAAATCAATTAATATGACTATGGTTGCTTGCCAAAACTCCATCGGCGGTTTTGACATGTTACACAATAATAGAGTTTCGGCAGAGCTTCACATTTGGGGTTTTGGCAATTGGCAGAGTAGATGCAGGTTACATACTAATTGTTTAGTAGAGTTTCAGCAGTCATTAAGAGGCTTCAAGCAAGTAATCTTAGATTGGACACTTACATCAATTTTAAGTAATCTTAAAATGTAAATTTTACATTTTGACCAGAAAGTTCAGTGGTGGCCTATAAGGCCCAGGACACCGGGTCAATTTGAAAATTTTTAGTGATGAGAACCTAAAAATTTTATAATAGGATTTCTCACCCTGTGTGCGACTTTGAGAAGATAAAATTCCCGTGACAAATTTATTATTAAAAAAATTATTTATATTTAAAAAGATCATCAGGACGAACCCATTCACTCTTAAGTCGTCCTCTCAAATCTTTTCTCAAAATTTTTCCAGAAGGACTTTTAGGTATCTTATCAATAATGTAGACACCGCCACGTAATTTTTTATGAGGAGCAACTTTTTCAGCTACATGATCTTGAATTAGTTTTTTGGTTTGTTGGTGATCATTGGCAGCTTCAGGAGGAAGATTTTGTAGTACAACATAGGCGACTGGTAATTCTGTCGCGTCTTGTTCTGAATATATACCAACTACAGCTGCATCGGAAATGATGGGGTTTGTAAGTAGGACTGATTCGAGTTCCGCAGGTGCAACTTGAGAGCCCTAAAAAAATTTTTTTGAGGTGATGGTGATGGGAAGAATTGATTAATCAAATTTCAAAAAAAGAAAAAAGAAAAATGGCAAACCTTATATTTGATAAGTTCTTTTATACGGTCGACCAAAAAAATTTTCCCTTTTACAATAATAATAATAATAATAAATATGTTAATTAAAAATGAAAAAGAATATTTCATTTTATGATATTACAATAATCTACCATTTTCATTAATAAAAGCAACATCTCCGGTACGGAAAAATCCATCTTTACCAATACATTCTTTAGTAGCCTGTTTATTATTAAGATAACCCTATTTTTTTTCGTAGACATGTGAAGGATCGATTAAAATAAATTGATTGCATATTAAAACTTACAAACACAATATTATGGCGGGAAGAATTTCCTGATGTAGAAGTTGCAGCAATGATAGACCATTCATCTTGAATAGTAGTATATTGCCCAATTTCATTGTCTCCTCCGATTAACAATACTAATATAAATATGATTGGTACCTTCATAACGTTTGGACCACGAACATATAGTTCACCTTGTTCGTTAATCCCAAGTTCTATCAAATATAAATATATAATAATCAATTAATTGTTTAGTGATAAATAATGATTCATTGTTAATTACCTTTTCCACTTTCATCAATAATTTTTGCTTCTATATTTGCTATAAGAATTCCAGATGATCCTAATTTTTTTTTTCAAAAAAAAAATAAATACTATTTATTCATTTATTTCCTTCTGCCCTTCCTTCAACAATAAAAAAAAATTTTTTTAATTACCAATTGTGATATCATCAGTCCTATCCATTGTAATGATTGGTGTAGTTTCAGTAAGTCCATAACCTTGCTTAAGAGGTGTACCAAATTTGTTGCTGAACATATTACTCAACTCTTCACTTAATGGAGCAGCAGCACAGAATAAAAATTTCAAACTTGTTAAATCATAATTGTCAACAGCTGGATCTTTAACCAGTTTAAGCACAATTGGTGGAACTACATATATAATATTTATTTTATGATCTTGTATTGCATGACAAAATGAATTTATATCAAATTTTGATAAAATTATTGCTGATGCTCCCTATTATAATTATAAAAAGAATTTTATGAGAGCTTTTTAAAAAAAAATTTTTCAAAAAAAAATCCATTATAAACTTACACTATAAAGTGCTTGGTGAATAATAAAATGCAATGCAAATATATGGTATAATGGCTGCAAAAAATAAAATAAAATATCATAATCAAATTTGAATCATTAATCATAATTATTATTTTAGTATTAGTATTACCAATACTCCCAAGAATGCAAGATCAGGAGTAAATTTCTCAAAATGATAAACTTGTTCAATGTTAGCAACCATATTATAATGTGTGGTCTCAACACCTTTTTGTCTGCCAGTTGTGCCAGAGCTATAACACAAATAAGCAACAGTTGATTTGACTTCCTCTTCAGTTGTATAATGAATAATTGCTGAATCATCATCATCATCCTTGAATAGACTGATGAATGTTCTAATGCCATGATCAAGATCTTCATTTTCATCAAATACAAAGATCTTGGAAGTTGGTATTTTTACATTGTTTGCAGCTTTTAAAACAGTGGGTAAGGTTGATGGATGTGCAACAATGATTGATGCTTTGGAATCGGTTAATTGATATGTTAATTCATCAACTGTATAATTAGGATTGGCTGTTGTAACAGCTCCACCTGAAAAAAAAATTCAAAAACAAATTAATTATTTTGCCAAAAGAAATTTTTTTGTGCATAATTATTAAGCAAGTTATTGGTTAATTAATTACCAAATGCAATTGTTCCTAATGATGCAATGGGATAATGTATGTGATTTGGAGAAACAATTGCCAGAACTTCTCCAGGTTTAAATCCAATTGATTTTAATCCACTAGCAAACTTTTTGGTAAAACTTTTAAATTCACCAAAAGTAATACTTTTATTGGTTAATCCATCAATGTAGATTGGTTTATTGTCAGGAATTGAGTTAGGATTGCTGATTACATGATGATAAAGATCAACATTTGGAATAATTAGATCAGGTAATTCGGATTTAAATATACCCATATTTTAGATCTTTTGTCTCAAAGTGAAAAGAAAATATTATTTTCAAAAAAAAAAAGAAAAATATTAATAAAACCCTTTTTAAACATGTAAAAGAACTAGATTTTTGGCAAGTTTATCATAATTTACGGAAAATTTTGGTAACGCAATGCTTTGCCCAAATATAAATTAGATTGATTAAAATTTTATATACAATCAATCAAACCTTTTCAAGTGTGCTGTGTGAAAGAGGATTCTCAAAACAGAATATAATAAAAACAAAAATAGAATATTTTAGATAATGAAATCCGAGAGAATTTTAAATTCACGTGCGTGAGATTCAAATGAATCAATCAGAATTTTGTCTAAACCCGGTTTAAATACAACAACAACATTTTAACCGGATTTTTCAAAAAAAAGTTATTATTATTATTGTTTGATATTAAAGTGTAATTAACCGTTTTATTATGTAATAAAATATAAAATTCCAAAACCATGCTAATTGTATATATATAGTTAAATTGTTCAAAGCCATGTTATTGTATTGTGTATATATAGCTAAATTGTTGAATTTTAAATAATGACAATTGTAACTCATGCATGTACCAATCCTGAAGGGAAAGCACAACATACTAATGCTAATACACAACATATTAAAATGTTGTAATTCTAAACATTCCAAATACTCATTCTCAATATTCTTCCAATATATCATTAAAAAAAATTTATTTTATGATTAAGAGGACACTGGGTAATTATAAATGATTATCATCCCACTATGTTGTGGGACTTTACACAATACCTAACCACATGTTCATCAAAGTCAATGCCATCCAACAACATAAATAAAATATGTTTCTTTTAATGATTATAAATCTATCAACTAGAACTTGAGATAAGGCCGTGTAACAAGACAAAATTTTGGCCATTTTTACCTCCATAATACAATTTTTTTATTATAATAAAACAATCATACATGTTAGCCAAAATTAATTCTATTAGTAAATGATCATTGCCAAATTCAAAATACCAAAATAGTTTTTCATAATGGCTGAAATTAATTATGATAATTAATATAGAGAATATGGAAAAGCCAAAATATTTGGCAAATGCAAAAACAATTTTGGCTAACATGTATGGTGACAATATAAATATAATTAATAAAATTACAACTATTATTAATACATAGAATAAAAAATAAAAAATATTGATACAATAGAATATTTATAATTTGTTCATCATACTAATTATAAAATGTATAGACCCTAATTAATTATTAGAATACTATGTTGAATGTTCTGAGATACTATGTTGATCATTAACATCAACTTCATTGTTAGGATCATTCCCCATAAATATCTCTTCAATAACATCAATTGGTGATTTACTATCAATATTAAGAAGAAAATGATTTGTTGCAAGTGATGAAGTTATTGGCGTTGTGTGATTTGCTTGTGCATAATAAGCAGATCTCTGCATTGTTCCAAAGAATTTAATTGATCATTTAATTTCAATTATTAATTATTAATGATTTAAAAAACTATTTAAAGAACTTACCAGTGAAGATGTTGATTTAGATTTTGTTATATAATGTGCTGTATTTAACCCAACTTCTATTAATATTTAATTGAATAATATATTATAAGCAATAAATAAAATTACTTGAATAAAATCATTTTCAAAATAAATAAGTTTTACTTGATCTTTCATCATCTTGTTGTTCATTATGACCTGATATCATTCCAGCAATACCATTAAATATTTGAGTTTTCTTTAATGGAGGTCTGAAATAAAATAAATTCTCTTAGGAAAAGAAAATAATGATAACAATAATGATAATAAATAATAAATAATAAGTACACTTTATATTGAAGTTCCCCAAAAGTTTTCTTCATATTAATTGATAACTAAAATAATAATAATAACAATATGAGTAAATTCTTTTTAAATAAATAAATAAATAAATAATTAAATTTTTAAAATATTTATTTACCTTTAATGTAGAATTAACCTTACTTTCACGTAATAAAAAGTGCCTAGTTATTATGGTGGACCCAACATATTCAGAAAGATTGATTTTTAATCTTCCAATATTACTAATTTCTTTGCCACCATTTAATTCCTAATTATTTAAAATCAGTCAGCAATAAAACCACCATAATTATAATTATAATCATAATTATAAATTTTTTCTCAAATCACCTGTTTTATTGATAGATGCAACTCACAAGGTAATAAAAAATTATCTTTACCTATAACAAGTTGTACTGAATCCTGTATTTTATGCTGCCAGCGCACTGAATGATCTTTAACGGGTGCCCTAAAATAATAATAGCAATAATGAAAAAATTATTATATTATCATCATTATCATCACCTATTATTATTATTACCTATTATTATTATTACCTATTAGTCTTACTATTTGCATTTACTCCTCTATGCTTGAATTTCCATTTTACATAATAAAGTCCTGTTATTGAAGGAACGTTTAAAAGTTCTTCTATTGTTATTTCAATATCAAAATTTGCTTTGCGATTTTTTGGAATAAATAATAATGGTAAAGGCATTTTTTTGTATATACATTTTTTTGCTAATATTTTATATTTTAATATTAATGATTATTAATCGGCCCGTCCATATTTGAATGATTAGGGGTTATGGGACTGATTAAAAAGGGAATGACTTTTATATTGTGTTTATATTTTGCTTACAATTTTGGCGGAAATTGGTCATTAATTTTCATTTTTGTGATATATATAAATTGTGATACAACAGGGTAGATCTGCAACATGTAGTAAAATTTCTTATTATATATTACCATCAAACTCCAATTTTCAGCCCGTATGCATTTAACTTAATAAATTGGTGAGACCCTCTTTTTGTTTCATTTAATGATATGGTGAGTAGATTAGGGAAAAGACAAGAAAATATAATAGGTGTTTAGAAATGAGGCTAAAAATACTACTATTACTAATTAAATATCTCGGTTTTACGGATAAAAGGCGGTTCTATAATAAACCTTAACAAAAACCTTCTCGATATAGCAGTTATCTCGATTTAACGGATTTTTGGAAAATTTCAAACTATCCGTGTAGTTGGCTTGGTCTAAAATTTTGTGCGAATTTTAAAAATATATAAGTCATTTTCTGTCTTACTTTTTTAAAAAAATAGCTCTATTATTTGATAGAATAGGCCTTTAATTTTAATGTAATAGAGAGATCTCAATTATTTTGTTGTAGAGTTCTATTCTTTTTTTAATGTGCTTTGCGTTAGGATCATTGCTAAGTTTAGACTAGCTTTAGATCATCATTACTAAATTTAGATCAATCATCAACAATCATATCTAAATTTGGCAGGAAGAAAATAATTTTTTTAATTAATCGCATTTTTGAACGAAATCATGAAATCGCAATTTTTGAAATTCGAGCGCGTGGCGCAGCAATTGGAGGTCTTTAGACCGAGCCAACCATATTACCATTACGTAAAATGCAGTTTTTCTGATATTTTCCAGATAGAAAGAAATCTCCAATGAAAACAAAACTTCAATATTTTTTATAGGTAAAGGAGTTTAATGGTGCACATTTCTTTTCCTGCTTAAATTATTGTTATCAAAAAAAAAAATTTTGTTTTGACTTTCGTATAATAATAATTAATAGTAACAGTAATTTTTGAATACTTTCCGTGTCGCTATTTCTTGTCAAAACTCGTAATTTTGTTTTTCTTATTCTGGCATATTAGAGCCGTGCGACAAGGTTTAATTCTCTATAACTTGCAAAGAAGAGGCGAGGTAGGAGAGAGCATAGTTCATTTATATAGGTGATTTTTTATAAGATTGTGATCTGTGAAAACCTGTTCACTTTTTTTTTCCACAACAATGAATTAATTTAAAATTTAAGTAAATAATTAACACGTATTAGAAATGACAGAATTTCACATATGTCTAATTAATTAATTATTAATTAACGCGAAGAAATTTATTATTTGCCATGTAATGATCTCCTTCCAAAATCCGTAAGTGTTTATTTCTTAATAATTTATGAGTGAGTGAGTGAGCTAGTAGAAAAAAAACTTTTATTTGAAATCGATCTACGTAATTTTATTTTAATTGCAAAAAAAATAAGTATTGCGGAAGATGGTATTTTATTTTTAAAAACCAATGTCTTTATTGGTTGCTAAATAGAAATGAAAAAAAGAATTAAAAAATTATTCAGCATCACCTTCATCATTGCCTCTATTTCGTTCTCATTGTTAATATTTTCTACTGCATCTGTACGAGACAATTGCGCTCATTGCATTTACCAGTTCTTATATATATATATATATATAATAAACTTGTGATCTATGAAAATCTGCTTACTTTTCTTCCACAGTCACGCACGAATTAATTATAAATTTAATAAATAAATGATTAACATGATAGGATTTTACATGTATGGTCCTCGGATGTCTAATTATTATCATCATCATTATTATTATCGTTATTATTATGTACTCTCATCAAAAAATCACTGGATAAGAAAAACCAAAAATTACAATGTTTTTAACATGGTTATGGCAGGAAAATAAAGAAATATTATGCTAAACTGATATAATGTATCTTGTCGGTATAGCATGTTGGGGAAATCCGTAATAATAATACGATTGGCTGAATAGGTTAATATACAATAATAAACGATTGAGTCGTGTATTTTTATAATATTGCGACACCAAAGAATATCATCAATTTGAAAATTTGGAACTTGGCACAGCATTCGATCTCTTGCACTATTAATCGAGTTTTCGAGTGTATACCTTCTGCAGAATTCAGAAGCACAAACGAAAATCTCAATGCCTCGCTTTTGCTTCCTCATTTGTAAACTTGTTACTATCACATAGTTCATTCTCTCCATAACGAACTATTTGACTTAGTATTAGGAAAAATGATTGTTTATACATATGTAAACTCGATAAGTCGGTCATGTGGGGGCGAGCTTATATGACCGTCTTATCGAGTAAACCGACTTATCGAATTAAATTACTTAA